GGTCGGGGGCAAAACATCTTTTGGTTGTCCCAGCCCCTAGAGATGTCAAATATGCTGCAACTAGGGCCAGGGCTTTTTCGGTGGCGGCTCCTATCTGGTGGAACGAGCTCCCGGAGGAGATCAGGGCCCTGCGGGACCTTATGCAGTTCCGCAGGGCCTGCAAGATGGAGCTCTTCCACCAGGCTTTCGAGTAGGAGCCACCGCCATCACTGTACCACCACCGTGCTGCCATGTTTGGCAATGCGATCTGGCCTTGGGAATGAAGGACGGACATAGCGTAGATCAATCAAGAAGAGACAATAGATCCTCTGAAACATTGTATTGGAGTCCCGTCTTGGATGACATATTGTTACGAGCACCGATTTTAAATGTAAATGTAAATGGAATTCATTGTTTTATACGGTTTTAGTGTTATGTATGGCAATTGCCTCTTGTTAGCCGCCCTGAGCCCATGTGGAAGGGCGGGATATAAGTCAAACAAACAAATAAATAAATAATAAATAAATTGTCCAAAGGTTATTCATAATGAAATAAGGATTTAGTTTTAATTATGTAGCATGAGGCTGTATATTCATGCAATGTTTAAATTTTTTTGGTAAATGAATTCCATTAATAATGTCATGCTCTTCCAGAGGGTTCTATAAGATTATTGGGCAATTTTTCTGTCTAGAAGATATTATCACAGATTCTTGGTTTTACAGTTCTCAAAACTGTGCATTTGTGTCTGCAGAGATCACATGCCTCTTCTTCACAGCAGAAATGTTATAAAATAAACATACGGAGTTGAGAAAAAGACCTTAACTCCATTGTTCCTTTGCAAATCTATGTACACATAATCAAACCCTTACCTCTTAAGTGCTAAGTTTCAAAAAATTCAATGAATAGAAGATTGTTGGGAGTGGAATAGATCTCTGCACATAAAGCTAAGTGTGAGGAGGGAGGGGCAAGCAGTAAAAATGAAAACCTTTTGAGCAGAATACTCCAGAAGTCTTTGGATCTTTGTGTGTACAGCCTGAGGTTTATCATATTATTCTTTCCTTGGAGGAAAAAACCTATAATGGCTGCAGGCCATAAAAGTTGGAGAATATTTTAATGAAGTTCCTCTACCTATGGGTAAGGAGACATGCGTGCAAAATGCAAACACTGCAACAAAGAAATGCAAGGCTGGGGGGACCGAATGAAACATCATGTGAAGTGTTGTGATTTATTTATGATGTGTTTCTAATAGTATTAAAGGTAAAGGTAAAGGTTCCCTTGCTCGAAAGCCAGTCGAATCCGACTCTAGGGTTGCGGTGCTCATCTCCGTGTCAAAGCCGAAGAGCCAGCGCTGTCCAAAGACGTTTCCGTGGTCATGTGGCCGGCATGACTAAACACCACGGCGCACGGAAGGCTGTTTCCTTCCCACCGAAGTGGTACCTATTTATCTACTTGCAATTTCTTTGCTTTCGAACTGCTAGGTTGGCAGGAGCTGGAACTAGAGACGGGAGCTCACTCCGTCTTGCGGCACCCGGGTCTTGAACTGCTGAACTACTGACCTTCCACAGCCTGCAGTTCAGCGTCTTAACCACTTGAGCCACCGCAGCTCCTAATAATAATAATAATAATAGTATTACCAAATCAGTAATTATTTGATATAACTAAAACTAATCTGAAAAGTTGTTATTCTAAAAATGAAACATTCATCTGGTTGTAAATATTAAGATTGTACCAGCAAGAATGAGTCCTTATGTAGAAAACCATGATTGTGATTTAAATTGTGACGTAAATTGTGATTTAAACAAATATAAATTCCATATAAATATATGGTTTGTAATACAAATGATAATAGCTTGTGTTTCGTTTGTATGTTTTGTGTGTGTTTTTTAAAATATAGTCTCGCTCACAACATTAATGCTAGTGGGTTCTTTGGCACACAAAGAACTTTTGCTCACAAGACTCCACAGCTTACAGGGAACACTGAAGACAATGTGACTGTGCCAAGAAGCATCGTTTGCACAGGGCCTCAGAAATCACCCGGAGCTCCACAAAGGCTGCCAGGATGGAGCTCCCCTTATTACAGTTTCAGTAATTAGCAAGGAACCCCCAACCCCCACCAAGATCACAGATCTAGCCCAACAGTTTTCAAAATGCACCCCAGAGAACTGTAGGCATTTGCTCACATGCTTCCCAGGGATCAGGCCACTGAAAGTTCAGGGACAGCAGAGGACCTTTCCTGACAGAACATCACTGCCTTCTTTTCAGAGGAGAGATGGGGCCCTTGCAAATGTCTGCAAGGCAACCCAGGGGTCCGAGGCCTGACACCTCACACAGATAAAGAATGCAGTTTAGAATGTGCCCTAGAAGACTCAATGCACAGGTGTCTGTGAGAGAGGGTGTCATGGAAAGGGTGCCCTGAAGGAGAGAAGTGTGAAAGGCCCTGAATCGGCAGTCTACACAGGAGTTACACTGATGGCTGTTAGCCAAATGGAGCAGCAGGTTTGGTGCGGGTGGCACAAAACCCTGAGGTAAAGGGGTAAAGAGCACAAAGCCTGGCAACTGACCATCAACTGCCACAGCTCCAAGCCTCAGCTGGCAACTCCGCTGCATTCAACTCCTCCCTGTGTGCCCCTGGGACATAGAAAGACCACTCCTGAGGGAGGCAGTCAAGCATCTGACAGCTGCCAGGAGAGTGAGCCTGGATTGTGGGGATAGGGAAAATCAGCAGCTCAGTGAGAAACAGGCTTTGGCTAGGGTGCCACCCCGGAGTGTTGCTATAGCAAAGGAGATGAAAGCCCACATCCCCCCCCCCCCCCCCCAATTTTATATAAACTGTCTTGGGGATCCTTAAGGACTGAAAGAACAGGCCCAGCAATGTGTACACAAAAACGTATCCTTGATCCAGCAAGTATGCTTGTGACATACACATAGAGACTTACAGAAACCAGGAACTTTTACCCAGAGTACTGACAGCAGAAGCTGTTTAGCAGCACACTTATTCCCCGGATGCTCTAGATAACCTGTAAAGAAATAGATTTAAAACTGCACCTCTGGAACACCGTAACAGTACAGAATTAATGACACTTCTATTTAATTACAAAATTAGAATACAATCTGAATCTGACACCTGAACAGCTCATGCAAGCCCTTCCTTCTGCACAAATGGGAGGGAAGCTTCCCAGGTCCCCTGCCCCGTCCAGTCTCATTCCTGGTGTGTGTGTGTGTGTGTGTGTATCTCTCTGGGTATCTCTGCCACCAAGTCAATGGTCCCAAGGGAATTCTCAGTCTCATTCCTTGTGTGTGTGTGTGTGTGTGTGGTGTGTGTGTGGTGTGTGTATCTCTCTGGGTATCTCTGCCACCAAGTCAATGGTCCCAAGGGAATTCTCAGCCTACGGACTTGCACATAGGTTACCTCTGCCATGTTGCCCTTTAAAGGCTCTGCTCAGGGGTCTGTCTACCCCACTTCTCTCTATGGCTTCCAGAAGACTGACTGGTTGAATGCTCTAAAGGCACAGGGTTAACTGCTGCATGCTCCCCTTTCTCTTTCTAGCCAGGAAAAATAGTTTTTAAACTCTGAGCAGACCCAACTATAACCCTTTGGGGTGTAAAGAAATACAGATGTATTCCTGGGGTGTACAGCATTACAAAACACTTCCTACATTCTTTTTTCCTACAAGTGAGGAGGACAGTTATGAGGAAGACATGCCACTCACCTGACTGACCCATACTCAGGAGGATGCTGGTACCTCATCATGGGCCCATCAGATCTGCCTTGCTGGGCCATGCGATGGTCACCATAGTAATGCCCAGGGTCCTGTGGCTTACAGCTCATAGGTGGGGTAGTCATATTTTTGTAAGGATACTCTGGAGGGGGACCTCTGTACTCCATCCCTTTCATGCTTGACTGAGGAGGGCTGGGTACAGAACCTTTAAAGAACTCGCTGGCTCCTGAGCTCTTGTACAGGTCATTTGTCTGCTGAGAGGAAAGCGGAGACAGTGGGGCACTGGTGACAGGAGCGTGGGCCTTCACACCGCTGGTGGCCAGTGACAGCTGCATCAGCCTCTCACTCAGGGAGCGAACATGTCCTTGCTTAAGGTCCTTAAGTCCTTCATCCTGGTGGACTTTGCCTGGGCTTACCCGCTGAACGGTGGGACGCCCTTCAGTCCTCGTCTTCTGGTTGGAGACTCCTGTCACATAAAATGCTGCCCCAACGCTGGCATGCTGCTGGCCCCTAAAATACTGAGACTGGACTTTGGCTTCCTCATAGGTTGGGAGATCTTCGCTATTCTGGAGTCTTGTGGAGAGCTGCTTTTCCATGATGCTGTTGTCCAGTTGTATCTCCTGGCCCTGAGGCTCCTGGCGAGCAACATGGGTGCCAACCTGATGGTCCTGGGGGCTCAGCCCTTCATTTGGAACCCCTGGGCTCCCGCTGCTGGCAAAAGGGGGTGCATTACCCGTGGCTTGTTGGTGCAAGGCAAGAAGGTTGCGGCTGTCATTTGGGTTCCCATATCGCAGCTGCTCCTGCAGCAAACGCTGTAAAACTGTCGTGGCCGTTTGCTCTTCTGAAGTCCTCATCTCAACTGTGACACCTTGCGGGTGGAATGCAGAAGGGGACACTAAGCTGCCAGTGACCTGGGGAGGAGGCAAAAGATGATGATTAAGCTCTGCTTTAACTGAAAAGGAGGGGAGAGTGGTAAACCCATGCCACTCACAATTTGTGGCACTTATATTAAAGCTCTTTTAAACAAAAGCTGTTAACACCTTCAACCTTGAAAAGGGCTTATCTGGGAAGATGGGCAAGATGAGTAAAAGACCCTCCCCCACAAGGAGCATTTATTGATCCCCAGCAGAAGACTGGAGTGCCAAAAGCTGCAGAAATATGACAGCATCTATTTATACTGCCCCAAACACACACACCCTTTAACAGAACACAAAAGAGTCCATAGGGGCCACTGTTTACACAAGACATTTTATGTCCCTAAGCCTCAGTAAGAGCTGAATGATTTACACTAAGGTAAGGGTGGCCAACTTCAGGGGCAAGCTTTCTTGTGCCACAAGCGAAGTCCAAAGGATGAGATGGTGCCAACCTAGAATATGCTACAAAGCATGTAGCTCCGCCACCCCATCCTGGAATGGATTTGATTCTCATCTACCAAACTGGGGAACTGGCTGCAGCTGCACAGCATAGGACAGATCCAGGGCAGGCCTGACTCACTATCCCTCATGCATGCTGCATGCTCTGAAAAAGGCTGCTGCTAAGTATGCAACAGCATACTGAAAGGAATTTCGAAGATACTATATTGAAAAAGAGCACTCTTTAAATGAGCTGCCCCAATCCAGTAGAAGCGATCCCTACTTTCCCTCTTCTACTTGGTAGCACCACAGCATTCCCTTTTCGGTTCTCGCAGCCAACTTTGAGCGATCCCTACTTTCCCTCTTCTACTTGGCAGCACCACAGCATTCCCCTTTTCTGTTCTTGCAGCCAACTTTGGCTTTAGCTCCTAAGTGGAATAAGGAAAGAGAGAGATACATCATTCCCGTTATGAGAAAAGAAAAGCTTCCTCTCCTTCCTTGGGTAGTTTCAGTGCTTTTGTCTGATAACTTCCTTGACAATCAAACCACGGCTATAGTGGCTTCCTTTCTAGCTGCGGTGATTAAGAAAACAGATCTCCCTGAGTTTAATTAGTTTATTGCTGATAACTGTTGACCTATATACAAATTTGATAATTTTAAGTGTGTGCTGGTTTTTGTTGTTGTTGTTGTTTTGGTGTTTTTTTATTCTGTACAGTTGCTATGGCTTTCTTGCTAATGCAATAAATATTATTATTATTATTAGCTTTATGTTATTACCAAACCAATATAAATACACTTTCCAACAGGGATTCTGACAACAATTTGAAAGGAAGCTTCATCCACTATTCTATTTTTACTTCTTGCTTAGAAAAGACAAGGCAGGAGTACTTCAGGAGCTCTCATGCCACCATTTTGCTCCAATGAAATAACAAACAAATCTGTAGTAAAAGCATGCTAAATAAATCCAACAACAATTATCTAGAACATCAAGTGAATAATAATGCCACTCATATATATATTATTGAATTAGTCCAAACTAATTATATTCATTTCAAATGGAAACTACACAGTTCTGGATAATGTAATCAACGTTTCAGATCTATTCCTTCATCAGGTAAATCAGGTAAATCTTCATTAACATGCAATGAATACATATGTATAAACGAGGTCCCGATCAAAATATTCCAATTAGGCACAGTTTCATTATCTCTTGCAAGCTGGAATTACCTCTTCAAGGACATGTAATATTTATACAAACAATTTTTTTCTTTCTGTGCTTATTCTATTTATGAAGGAAGTTTGCTGCTTTTGAGATATGCTGTGACTTATTGTGGGTTTGAGTTTGTTACCACCCACTTTTGGATAATTGCTCTTTATTATGTTTGTGATTCTACAATAATATATATATGAGTTTGGCATTATTATTGACTTTGCTTTCTAGATAATTATTGTTGCATTTATGTAGCACGCTTTGACTACAGCTTTATTTGTGATTTCATTGGTCTTTTTTCTGTAGCCTCCCTCCTTCTTACTAGTCATTTTGCCCCAGCTCCCCGCTTTGGTATTTCAGTGACTGTAGGCGAATCACAAAAACCCACCTATTTCCTTCACTTGGGTTCTCTCACTCAGAAGGAGCCGTTCCAAAACATAAGGTGACGCCTGTCTATCTTTTTGCTATGTCGAAAACTCCGATGTCTTCCCAGATCCCTTGTAATCTGGATTATTTCATCATTCCTGTACACTCTAGAAAATCCTGAAAAACAGAAGATGGTGGAAACTGATTACAAGAGATACCATCAGAAATTAGTTCCCTTAGCAATGACATATTCTTCCTAAATTCTAGCATTTATTTGTTTAAATTTGTACCCCGCCTTCCCCGCCAAAGCAGGCTCAGGCTTACAGGCGGGAAGAACTTGGCTTCTAAGTACAGTAATTAATAACAAGTTTACCAATACTATGGCGGCAAGGTCCCTTACCCTAGCTTGGACTCCCACACGTTAACTGACCATTTCTGGACTACTATATATTTATTTAAAATATTTATACCCCACACTGTACAGAATGAGCTTGAGGGGACCTTCAGAAGACAAAGAGGCTGACTAACCCATGGACCCAGCAGCTTGAGGCTGAGGGGAAAGCAAGCAAACACTGAACTCTGGCAGATTTGGGCTGATGAGGAATGGTTCTTTAGAAGAGAACAACTGGTCCTACTACTCCCCTCCCCATCGAAACCGGGTGGTGGTGGTGGTGGTGCAAAGTTCTAGGTGCAGCTCCCAAGCAGCTGCTGGGTGGCAAGTTTAGCCTTCATTCTGTTCTGACTGGAACAAGTCAGCATCAAGCTAAGTGAAACCTGGGGCACTGGGTCCTCATAAAATCTGTCATCTACACATGTTCTGTTAAGGTAGAAATATGTTTCCCTAGCTCAGAGCTCCTTGCAAAGGAAGTGGATCTAGCAATTTGGAAACGAAGAACATTCCCCCTACTCCCCAAGCTCAGGAAAAGAACAAAGTAAAGTAAAAAGCAGCTGACATGATGTGAAGCCTGGCATTTTGTCCAAGTCTTGAGTGCTCATTTTGGCTGTATGCAGGCAACACAGCAAGCAGCAGTTGAATCCAACCATGCACAAAGGCAGTTTGGTACAGTGCTTGTATGGCCCCTTATCCATCCGTCCCACCCACCCACCAGCAGAGCTTGCTTGAGCTCCAACTAATTGTTGCTTACAAATGCAGACACCTCAGTGAACAAAATGGCAATAAAATGTCCTGGTGAACCCAGGCCTGAATAAATCCAGAAGCATTCACTCAAGTTCTGTGTGCTGGGGAGGGAGAGGCCAAGTGAGCACAGCAATTCACTGGGTTTATGCCCACTGAGGTTTTAGTTGCAGTACCTCCCAAATCTGAATCTCAGATTAAAACCTATGTGGAAACCTCCTCTGTTGAGTCTTTCAGTGCATGAATCCTGCAATGCTGTTTAATCTCCTCCTGAGGGATGCATCCAAAGTAGCTGCCAATGAACTATTCAGCAAAAGACTTTAACCCCAAACATTAGGAAAGCAGACAAGCAGAATCTTAACAATTTTTCAGACATACTTCAGGCAAATGATCCTGTGACCCACTCTATAAAGCAACCCATGGCTATCTTTATATGAGAAGCGCATTCTGCTACATAATGCATTCTCCACATGCCCACCAATGTAATCTTCCGGTGTCAAACAACTTCATTGACCAGTTTTACAAGAGGCTAAGTCAGATGCTCTCCCTTCTCTGACGACCACTGGCCAACTAAGGCCTGTACTGTCTACTCTGGCTGGCAGCAGCTCTCTCCATTCTCAGGCAGAGACCTTTCACATCACTTACTTTTGCCTTAATCCTTTTAACTAGGACCTTCTGCCACAAAACAGATGCTCTAACACTGGGCCACAGCACTACCTAACACACATTCCTGTTGCCAGAAAGATTCCAGAGATCCCAACGTTTAGTTTGAACTGTTTGCTTTATGAAAAAATAAAAAAGATTACCTCATCTGGGTGGAAACCACTAACACTGACTGTTAATGTCTCCGAACTCCTGTCACCCACAGACAGGAGTGGCTTTCTCATTATAGCAAGCTAGAGATTCTTGGCTATAAACAAGCTCCCAACCACCACCTCTGAAGCCACTCCAGTTCCTCCAGCTGCATCAACTGTGTAACAGCTCTGCTGCAGTACAGACATTCAGAATCAAGCATGGGTTAGAGAAACTGCACCAGAAGCACCATTTTAGGTGCAGGTGCTGGACCAAATGTAGCTTGCGTTGAAGCAAAAAACCCCACCACCACCACTCTTTACAGAGAGAGCGACTCGGCTGCAGTCTCTCTCCCCTCCTTTTTCTTCACTTCCTGTTCTCCATGTCTCTCTAAACATCTCTCTTCATGTCTCTCTCAATGACTTATGTTTATTTGTGTTCCCCCCCCCTTTATTTAGTAGGCAAGGGAGCAGTAACAATACATAGAATTAACCAATTCATACAATCTAAAACCTATGGTACTACTTCAAAATTTTCCATGAAGTTAACACAAAATTATGACACAAAAAAAATTAAGACAAAAAAAAAAAGACTCTTGAGAGTCCCTTGGACTGCAAGAAGACCAAATCAGTCAATCCTAAAAGAAATCAACCCTGACTATTCCCTGGAAGGCCAGATAATGAAACTGAAGCTCAAATACTTTGGCCACCAAATGAGAAGGGAGCACTCACTGGAGAAGACCCTGATGCTGGGAAAGATTGAAGGTCAAAGAAGACGGGGACGGCAAAGGATGAGATGGTTAGACAGTGTCATAGATGCAACGAACATGACATTGAGCAAACTTCAGAGGACAGCGGAAGACAGGAAGGCCTGGCAGGAGCTGGTTCATGGAGTCGCGAAGACAGCGGAAGACAGGAAGGCCTGGCAGGAGCTGGTTCATGGAGTCACGAAGAGTCGGACTCGACTGTGCGACTGAACAACAACATCAAAATCTGTATTCAACTGGATCTGTTTGGCAATGTACTTCGGGCTAAGGATACAACAGAGTGAGGCTTCCAAACATCACATACACTGTTGTAGGGAACAGACCTTGGCTTTCTATATTCATACAAAATTAGCCACATATAACTTAGTAGGACCATATTGTCCATCTACAAATGGCCCAGACTGAAAAACTGGCCCGAAAGTAATCTTCAAAATTGGCAGCTGTACTGGGCTGCTAACAGCCTTAAACTCTAGCAACTAGTCTTTGAGGATATTATCATTGGAACTGAGTAAATTAATCTCAGCAAACAGAATGGAATAATTAAGGCAAAATAAGGCAATGAGAGGAAAAGATAATAAAATTTAAACACTAATTTTTTAAAAAAATTAAATCAATCAGATACTAGGAAAACCTCCTGACCTGAACCAGCTGTTACTTATTCATCTACATACTAAACTGTTTCCAAGGCCGCTTCTGCTATTATTTAATCATTAATGCATTAAGAGCAACTCTTCTCATGTTTTGATTCCTGTGATGTTTCCTCAATTGTGCTATTTCAGTATGCCTGTCTTTTTTTCTTCATAAAACGAACTATCTCCATAAGAGTCTCCTTTATGGTCTCTGTCAGCTCCTTGGTATTTAAATTTAAATTGTCTTCCTGCTCTATTGTGGCAGGGCATTCAGAATTCAGCTGTTGCTCTGGATCCACAGAGATCTCCTCTGGGGTTTGTGCCAGCTCCTTGGCCTCCAAGTTGTTTTCCTGCCCTATTGTGACAGGACTTTCAGAGTTTGACTGTTGCTCTGGTGTTTCTAGGCTAAGCTGACAATCATTAAGATCTACAATTCTGCAGTCTTGTGGGACCCTGGCTTGCACAGGAGAAAACAGGTGCAGGGAGCCAAAAGGGTCAGTCAGGGAGTTGAATATGCCTACAGCTCTCACCTGTTCCTGTTTGGTTCCAGTTTTGCCCAGATCTGAATTCATTGGTCAGGGGTTGCTGGACTTAGTTGCTGGACTTGAGAATTAAAGTACCTTTGAAATCTAATCCCAACTCAGCATAGTAGGAGGAATGTGCAAACACATGGGTTGGTATTTGATTGGAGCGAAATTGTAAAAAAAAATAAATGTTCATAGCGCAGAGGTCCAGGAATTTGTTCCGCCTTAAAGAGATCAACGAGAAATGGTTCCATTTGTAAAAAAAGGTCAAGTGTCTTCTGGTCCATCGCTTGGTGGACCAATTGATATATCTGCCTCAATAACTACGATCCTAGAAGCTCAAAAAAAATATATTCCGCAGGTTAGGAAAGGCACAAACAGGTATAGGAAAAAGCCTGCATGTTTAACAAACAAAGTAATGGAAGCTGTAAAAGGTAAAAAGGATTCCTTTAAGCAGTGGAAAGCTAGTCACAGTGAGGCTGATCAAACGGAACACAGGCTATGGCAAATAAAATGCAAGTCTGTGGTCAGGCAGGCAAAAAGGGAATATGAGGAGCATATAGCAAAAAACGTAAAAACCAACAATAAATCTTTCTTCAAATACATTAGAAGCAGGAAACCAGCCAGGGAGGCAGTGGGGCCCTTGGATGACCAAGGGGTAAAAGGAGTTCTATGTTCTTATGATAAGGGAAGACATTGATTACTGGACAGTTGGGCTCATAAATTAGGGAGAGAGTCTCCTTTAATATCTTGCAGGGGCAGTTGCAGATACCCCTTTGTATTGTAGGCTTGGGTGTGGCACTTTCTTACAGTCCTTGTTCCTATATGTCTCAGAATTTCGATTGCTGAGCAGACTTTTTAAACAATGAGTATTTTTACCACTTCTTGAGATATGAGTTATAATCACATCCAGCTTTTCATGGATTTCCTGCAGCGTTCTAGCGATTAAATGCATCTGGGCTGCTAAGAGGTTCAATCCTCAGATTTTCCTGGTTGGCACAATGGGGACAATGAGCGCAAGTCATAGTTTTTGAAACCACTGTTTGAATGCTTGGATGTGGCAGTGGGGCCCTCTATCCTGGTTTGTTTACTCACAGGAGTTTTACTCTCTTCCTCAAATGGGTAGGCTCTTTTCACTCCCATAATATATCCGACACTTAACTTCTATAAGAGGAAAGCAGCTCATAAATCTTGGCCTTTTTATAGGAACCCCCACCCACATTACAATGATAATGATGACAATGAAGAATTAGGTTTTATACCCTGCTTTTTTCTACCCTAAGGAGTTGCAAAGCGGCTTCCGATCTGCTTCCCTTCCAGACCAGCAGGGG